AAGCCGAGAGAGCGCATTAACGTTTAAGAAGACCAAGTATACATACAGAGAGAGAGAGAGAGATGTATATATATATATATATATATATACACACACATACACATACATGTGTATATATATATAATATAACATAATATAGTATAATATAATACAATATAATATAATGTCTATCTCTATCTGTATACACACGTTCATATACGTAAGCACACCCTCAAGCGGGCTTGCTAAACGCTGCCAAATCAAACAGACAACAGGCTGTGAGGATATTACGTCAGTGTCTTGGCTCGCGTCGGAAAAGCTCTGGGGTTTGATGCCTGGACATGCAAGCTTTGCTCCGGATGAGCATGAGAGCTAAGCGCTCTGCGAAACGAGGCTTCCAGCTTGTAGGCGGCCAGTGCGGCGGCCTCCTATGAAAAAGGAAATGTTTGCGAAGCACTGCCGCCACAAAGCCGTTGAAGCACCGCACGTCACAGGCATTCTGCATCGCCTCTGCCAGCCGTTGGAAATCAGTGCTTGCGGTTTCGAACCTTCTGTCGAGCGCAGCCACCTGCATTTCTGCAATCAGGTATTGACCGCATGTCTTCTTATGGTACTTGCCACTGTACCTGCCCTTCCCTGATTCATCAATCAGCCTGGCGTCGGAGCAGCTCGGTCCTCTCCGACTGGCGCTGAAAGGCCGCAACCTGCCAGCAAAGCCAGGAAGATCAGAGTATGAACGTCAACGTGGCTCAAGAGAGTGTTACCAGCCTCTGCATGCATCGCAAATTTTGCTGATGCCAGTGGGTCAGTCATGTGCGGCACCTTCGATGGATTGTCAGATTCTCTGCAGCTGCCGATCTTAGTGACTCGTGCCTCCGTCACGTCGCTTTCCGAAATCTCGTCGAATGTTGGAGATCTGACAAGAGCATGACCGATTCACGATTGCAATGACAGAACTATCAGAAGTATGGACAGATAGAACAAAGACTAATCACTGGCATGTAACACGATGCCATTAGGCAGCTTTCCCATATAATGTGACCTCAGCCCGTCACGGAACATCTGCACAAGGTGCCACTGACGTGGCCGCCGACTTCGAATCCCCTGCCACAACTGCTGAAGGACTGTGCTTGCCTTGGCACTTCTTACTACTACCACTACTACTACTACTACTACTACTACTACTACTACTAGTCACCCCCCCACCTACCAACTACGTGGGGCACAAACCCATCATCATCATCATCATCATCATCATCGTTGGTATTGGCTAAAACATCACGAAAGTACTGTAAATACCCAGTAAAATGGACGTGCACTTTGAAAGTATGTCATCGTGCCCACACCCCCCCCGCCCAACCCCCCGTTACCCCCCCACCCCTCAACAGCGGAAGTTGGTATTGGACTACGACATCACGAAAGTACTGCAAATACCAAGTAAATCGGATGTGCGCTTGAACAGTGTTTAGGAGAGGTAGTTGGTAGGGGGGGCGCCTGCTACTACTGCTACTGCTGCTACTACTCCTGCTGCTGCTGCTGCTGCTACACCAC